TCTCCCGCTAAATGCACGTTGCCAGTAGGGAGTCCTAATCAGCCTCTCAATGCATCTTCTGGAAACTGCTAATCATTCACGGGTAGAGATAAGAAAGAGGGTAAATGTTGTTTTAAAACGTGTCTTGGTGTCCGCCATGCAAATGTTGACAGATGCAAATGCAACTTAGGATGCAAAACGAAGAAGGCTGCTTCCTCCTAGTTTCTTTAGAAGACCTAAAGGATTACCTGATTTGTAAATTTCCACTTTCGACACTCGGCAGCAAAGGCCCAGCCATGCAAAACGCTCTGGGAAACATGAGCCTTTCCTAAGTATTTAGTTTTACTCTGGATCTTTATCTTTCATCTCGGCTTGAAATCTGTGCCTCCTCAGTAATTCACACACCTTTTATTACATTTTTTCAGACAGGTTATCTTTTACAATGTGATTTTCAGCAAAGCTACAGATTATAAGATTCAAATTAGTCAGAAGTACCATACTATTCGGCTACAGCTTGTTTTTAACGAATGAAACAAATGACAGATTAAGAAACGTACATCTTCTAGTTGTGCCTTATTAAGAGCTTAAGTGGTCATGAAATGGCCTTGCATCATGTTTTTATCAGTAGTTTCAGTTCATGTAGGATATTTAAAGAAACTTTGACTAATATATCAGTTTTCTGAGTTTAAACCAGCTTTTTCTGCACCTTACAGCAGGTCTCTTTGACAGGAACATCTGCTAAAAGTAGCCAATGAAAGCCTTCCTCACTGAGTGTGGACAATATTTCTGATCATCATGATTCAGAGCATCCATCCATCCATCCATCCATTATCAATACCGCTTATTCCCTCATGGGGTCGCGGGGGGAACTGGAGCCTATCCCAGTGGTCAACGGGCGAGAGGCAGGGTACACCCTGGACAGTCCGCCAGTCCATCGCAGGGCAACACACAGGACATACAACCACTCACGCTCACATTCACTCCTAAGGGCAATTTCCCCAATCTCCAATCAGCCTAACATGCAGGTTTTTGGACTGTGGGAGGAAGCCGGAGAACCCGGAGAGAACCCACGCAGACACAGGGAGAACATGCAAACTCCACCCAGAAAGGTCCTGGTTCCCCCGGGATTCGAACCCAGAACCCTCTTGCTGGGAGGCGACAGTGCTAACCACCACACCACCGTGCCGCCCTGATTCAGAGCAGTTTACTACATTTTACTGGACTACAAGCGCCAGTGTAAATTCTAAAAATCAGCTTCAGCCTATCAGTTTTGGAGGGGAACGACTACTTTTTCTATCTATAATTATAAGGTGGAATAAACATTGTCACTCTGAACTCAAACAAAGAATGTGGTCCTTATGACCCTATTTGGTCTCTATTGAAAATGAAAAGATAGTCAGAATCTAAAGAAACACGCATGCTGTGAGCTGACAAAGAGGGAAAAACTAAGTCTTCCAATCAGGTTTTGTGGCTCCCTCTCAGTCTTTCTTCTTGGGTTTCATCTTCCACTGCAGTTTGACGTCGGTCAATCCCCGGGCTGTGAGCAGAGCCTCCATCTGAAAAGGAATTGAGGAAGCAGCCTTCAGA